GATTAATATCCAGAATATACAAGGAACTGAAACAGCTTTACAACAAAAAAACAAGTAACCCAATTAAAAAATGGGCAAAGGAGCTGAATAAGCATTTCTCAAAGGAAGATATATGAATGGCCAACAGACATATGAAAAAATGCTCAACATCCCTCAGCATTCAAGAAATGCAAATCAAAACCACACTGAGATACCATCTCACCCCAGTTGGGATGGCTAATATCCAAAAGACTGTGAATGATAAATGCTGGCGAGGTTGCAGAGAAAAAGGAACTTTCATACATTGTGGGACTGCAAAATGGTGCAGCCCCTATGGAAAATGGTATGGAGGTTGCTCAAACAATTACAGATAGATCTACCATATGATCCAGCTATCCCACTGCTGGGAATATACCCAGAGGAATGGAAATTATCAAGTCAAAGGTATACCTGTTCTTCAATGTTCATTGCAGCACTATTTACAATAGCTAAAACTTGGAACCAGTCCAAATGTCCATCATCAGATGAGTGGATATGGAAAATGTGGTATATCTACACAATGAAATACTACTGTGCTATAAAAAAGAACAAAATACTACCATTTGCAACAACATGGATGGACCTAGAGATAATTATATTAAGTGAAACAAGTCAGGCACAAAAAGAGAAATATCACGTTCTCACTTATTTGTGGGAGCTAAAAATAAATAAATAAATACAAATAAACAGGGGGGGGAGAAGACACAACAATCACAGTTCCTTGAAGTTGATACGACAAGCAAACAGATATGAGGTTGTTGGGAGGGAGCGGGGAGAGAGAGGGGAGGGAAGGTTTCGGGAATGGGCCACAATAATCAACCACACTGTATATTGATAAAATAAAATAAAATAATATTTAAAAGAAATAAAAATGTAAAATCCATACATAAACAGATTGGGGTGGGGGGCCCGCAGATGGTAGTTTTCCAATCACTAGAGTTTTCAGTATTACCTGGAGTTTATTTTCTCAGCTTGAGTGAAAAAGTTTATAGCAGATTTTTGAATACAAAGAACCTCGCATTTTAACTCTGTGAGGAGAAAGAGAAACAATGAGGAGGAAAGGTGGGAAATGAACAGCCTTTTGTTTGCCTGTCTTCTAAGTATGAGGAATCAAAGCTCCTTGTAGTATCCACAATACACCTGGGGCATTAGCACACTTTCATGGCCCCTATATATGAAGGTACTTTTTTTAAAGTTCATGGAAAAATTCGTATTCTACAAACTTCTTGAAGTACCCTCGTATACGTACTGTCTCACTTTATTTGGCAAACAGCAAGCTGTGTTATGACAGTTAATTTATGGTTTTAGTTTGGAGGAATTCTGTGGAACAGCACCTCTGAGCCCAGAGACTTGAATTAACTATCTAGTCCTTGAAAACTCTGGCTTACCACACTAGACAGCACCCCCCCACACACCCCACACCCATCCCCACCCTCACAGCTGCCTCTAAAATGGGAGGTAATTCCATGATTATCATCTCCATGTGGCTGTCACTTCCTGGGCTCTCCTGGTTTTACCAACATCTGATTCCTTGTTTTATATCTTCTAGTAATACCACGCAAGAACCCTTGTTGTCTTTCTAGTGTGTTTATAAATTTATCTTTATTTCTGTAATATTTTATCACTTTATTTCTTCTGTAATCCTAACACAACTTTTTAGAAAATGACTTGACTCTACCATGCCATTTTGATCTGGAACTCTCCCAAATTCATACTCTTTACTTATCCAATAACTAAGCTGCTTGTAATTCCTTTCCACACTTCATGCTGTTTCATATCTCCCTGTCATCAGAGAGGCCATCTGTCACCATCAACATCGCCTCATCCTTACCCTCAACATAATATATATATATATATATATATTTTTTTTTTTTTTTAAATTTAAAAACAAAAACCAGGAAAATAAGGAAAAGAGGAAGGGAAAAGTAAGGAGACTAGTATGCCTGTTTCTGAGGAAGTCTAAAATGGTCACTGGGTCTACTCACTTTACTGCTGCAAAGAATCTGCCCTCCAGCCCTACAGGCTCCCTGATTTTGTCTGCATACCAAATAGGGATCCAGCCCTCTGAGTAGGAACTATAACTATCAAATAAAGTCAAATTATTAACCTATAATATGAATTGTAACTGTCACACTGACTGGAACATTTCTGCCTGCATGACTACTCCATTTTCTGCCCATGAGCAGATGTCTTAGTCAAAAGTCTGCTTGTAACTAACGCCACTGAATTGTGCACTCAAAAATGGTTAAGTGGTAAATATTATGCTAAGCATATTTTATAATAAAAAGCTTATTGATACAGTAAGACATCATGGGGATACGTTCTGAGAAATGAATCATTAGGCGATTTTGTCACTGTGCAAACATAGTTTGTACTTACACAAACCTAGATGGTAGAGTCTACTACACACCTAAACTATACAGTATTGCATGACAATCTTACGGGACCACTGTTTTATATGTGGTCCATTGTTAACTGAAAAATCGTTATGTGGTGCACGATTGTATTCAAAATAAGGATGATTCGCTAGACAAATTGAATGTTAAATAATATGTCTAATATAACCTGACGGTATCTACTTCCACAGTAAGAACAATCTTGCCAACAAAAACAAAATTCTCAAATATGTTCCATAATACACTACCAACATTTTCCTTGGTAGTTCTTTTTGTGTGTGTGTCTGTGCATAAGAGAGCATGTTATATTCGAAAACTACTATTCCTGTTGACTTCACGATATGTTTCTAAGTATCAGACTCCCAGAAATGTGTTACAGATCATTCCAGTGCTTTCATAAAATATTACGGTGAATCCCAAAAATCTCCTGTTTTGATATGAGAGTCATAGGCACCAGAAATTTGTTTGAGGGCCCTATCAATGTTCTCAAAGTGCAATCACTGACCACTAACTTCAGAATCACCTGGGATACCTGTTAAAAATACATCACCTCCAAAGACTATGTTCTAGTAAACCTGAGGTGGTACCCCTAAATCCTCACTCTTGCAAAAATTTAAGAATTACCTCCCTTTCTAACATGCATGGTGACCTGAAGGATGAAGAGTCAGCCAAGGAAAGCTGATATAGGCTAGAAACAGAAAATGCAAAAGGTCTCTGCAGGGAAGACCTTCATCAAAAAAGTTACAGAAGGCCATTACGGCTGCTACAAAGAATGGCGTAATATAAAGTTGGAAAGCTAGTCCAGATCTGACCACCATGATAATGAGTTTGGATTGTACAGTACAAAAGGAAGTGGAAGATTAGCATTATCTCAATTACATTTTTAAAAGATTTTACTTCTATGTAGAAAAATGAGTCTAGCAGGGTTAGTGAACGAGCTATTTCATTGGTCCAGGAAAGAGATGATAGTGATTTGAACTGTGTTGGTAGCAGCAGAGATAGAAGAGTGGGCAGATAAATTTTGGAAATAGAATAGACAAACTTCCTGACAGATTGGAAGTAGGAAGTGATAAAAGTGAAGAATACAGTATATAGTCCCTATGCATCTGCCTTAAACACCTATGTAGGTCATAAATAAACTTCTTTGGTTATTAAAACTACATATCTTGCTTTTTAATAAAGAAAACAAGAAACACTTGGAAAACAGAAGTTGAAAGGTTATTAAAGATCGTCTATAAATCCTTATTATAAAAGGAATGAAAATATAACCATTAAGAATCACTAAAATTGATCTGCCTATAAACTGCCATCTACAAATTATCCAAAAGGAAATACACAAATTTGAATTTCTGAATTAAACACAGTAACAAAATATACTTTATTAATACCTTGCAAATAATTTGGTCTATATAAAGGCACATGCTGCCCACAAAAATTACTACTTACATGGGTCTTTCCTATCTCTCATTCTAAAACATTTACCTAGAAGTTGTTACACAGGATCCTAATTAAACAAGATTCAAGCCAAAAGTTTCATATCTCAATCAGATTACCAGAGACATTCTTTTTGAAAAGACACCCTACTTAGTGTTGAAAGTACCAAGTACTAATTATAACCCAGAGGAATCTATTATTCTTTTACCTTAGCCTTTCCAGAAATATTTTAAAATAAAGTAGAAACAAGAAGATTAATCAAGCTCTATTACCCTTAAAATCTGAACTCCTGGGCTGGCCTGGTGGCGCACTCAGTAGAGTGCGGTGCTTGGGAGCGTGGTGGCGCTCCCGCCGAGGGTTCGGATCCCATATAGAGACCAATCCGCTCACTGGTTGAGCGCGGTACAGGCATGACACCGAGGGTTGCGATCCCGTTGCCGGTCACAGTACAGGCGCAACACCGAGGGTTGCAATCCCGTTACCGGTCACGAAAAAAGACAAAAAGGAAAAAAAAAAATCTGAACTCCTTAGCAAAGAGGCTTCCTAAAGCCTATTAACTCAATATAGACTCCTAGATCTAGGATAGACATTTCTCTAGTCTCCAACTAACCTTTTCTTATTTGGCTTCAGATCCCTACAATTATATGAGTGCCTATTGGATATTCCCAGCTTAAAGGTAAGCAAATCCAGCTCACCTCAAAAAAACCATATTGGCCCAGAAAATCTAGTTTTAAAAGCTCTGTTTTATGCAAATAGAGAAATTATCTGTGAGATTCTATAAATGCCCATACATTCATCCACTTAGTGCTTTACTGCTTAATATATCCATTTTTCCATCCATTAAATGCCTCAAAATTTTGAGAAGCTAGTTTTATTGAAATAGGTCCCCCCTCAAAAGAATAGATTCAAAGAAATAAGAACAGTGCTTTTCAGTGACATAGAGAGATGGTCATTTGAAAATAAATGACTTAAGAATAGATCATCTGTCAATCTCATGTTCTCTTTTTAAATATGTAGGTATATAAGCCATAAAAAGTAAAAATAGGAGAGAAATATTTAAGAGAAATAATTATTAAAAAAAAAAAAATGTTTGCATTTTGGTTCTTCAGCCAAAAACAGACATGACAAAAGAACTAACACAACTATGGAAAATTTACTTGTATTCAAATGTATTTTCAGAAGATTTCAAGATTTGACACAGGCACAGAAAAAAAGAACAAATGAAAACAAACATAAACAAGGTCAGTTATAGAGTGACCTCTATTTGAAATGTATTTTTTTAAAAATTTTTTTAGTCATACTCTTTAAAAATATGACAGAAAAATGTTTTAAGTCTTCTCAATCATCTTGAAATATTTGTGAGCTAAACTCATCATTAAGGCAAATCTTGATTTTAAACACTCACTGTAAATAACTGATGAACTCTGTTTCATTTAATTGCTAATCCAGGGAGAAAGTTTTTGTAAAAAAACATTTTATTGCTACAAAGGGGAAACATAGTCACAAAAAGCCTTTAAGCATATCTTAACGCAAATTACTATTCAATGTTCAATGTGGTAAAAAAATACACAGTCAGAGCACAACATACTTGCCCAATTTATCTCTTCTAGGGTAAGTATTCAAAAAATTAATGCACACTTGAATATTCACTCCCAAGAGCAGCATTTAAATTCAAATGATTAGAATATACTAACAATAATACACATCTGTTATCCTTAACACCAGTAAAGTAATAAAAATTAAGCTTAAAAATTATACAAACAGTTCATCAGATCTAAGTTTGGTAGCTATAAAAATTAAACTAAAATAATCTTACCTTCATTTTATGAAATGCCAAACATTCAGAAATTATATAAAACAAATTTTAATGTGTGGAATGCATGCAACATTGGTGTTAACTCATATTTTAAGCTATTAAAATTCTTACCCTTTTCCACATTAGGATAGAAATTTAAAGCTCTTTTTAAATCTAATAGCATGTATTTAATTTTCTGCAGGTTGCTCAGCAGGGAAGTCAACAGGCTCTTCCTTTGCTTCCTCTTCCTCTACTTCCTCTGCTTCTCCCACTCCCTCTACTTCCCCCATTGCCTCTCCTCCTCCCTCCACTGTCCCTACTTCCCCTACTCTCTCCCCCTCTATGTCCCCCTCTCCCTCTACTCCTCCTTCTTCTCCAACTTCTCTCTCTCCCACTTCCTCCACTTCTTCCACCTCCTCTACTTCCCCCACTTCCTCCACTTCTTCTTCCTCTTCTTCATCCTCCTCTTCTTCAATAGGTTCATCAATCTTTTCTTCATCATCTTCATCTCCTTCTACTTGCTGATCCTGAGAATGATCTTTAATTTCAAAAGGATTTTCACCCTAAAAACATGAGAAATGGCTTTTAAAACCAGTACATTTATTTTCACATCAATAAAAGTTTTATTTGCTATATCATGAAGAATTAATACTATTTGAAGCTTTTTATTTTAACTTATGACAAATCCATTAAATACTTGTTGAGTACCTATTTCATACCAATTTGGATTTATAATTGAATGAAGGCATTACTATATACTCCATAAACTGGAGTACTTAAAGGCCATTTTTTCTTAACTGAATTTCTAAAATGATATATTCATGACAAGATAAATATGTCTTTTTTGGTAGAAACAAAACAGATGATGCAAAGATTTACATTCTACTTAATTACACCAGTATTCAGGGTACTACTGTTGTAGGATCTCTTTTAAATGCAAATAAAAAACCGGTAGTTTGTTTCACCTACTAGATACCATGCCTTACTTCCACTTTTAAAAGGTACACAAATCTTTAATTCATTAAATATTCACAGGTACAGTTTTATTTTAATGTTTTATTTTAATACCTGAATTATGTATCTCGATCCAATCTCACATAAATCGGACCATATTAGAAGACTATATTCATATAGTAAGAAATGAAGAGGCAGTGAAGGTTATTAAGTAAGAAAGTATTAAGATAGGTGCTACATTTTAAGATGAACCAGGTAGGAATGTGCAGGATGAAGTGGAGTAGATAGGCAACAAATACTAGTGAGGGGACTACTGTAATAATCCAGAAAAGGGAAATGTAAAAGATGTTGTAACAGCATTAACAGAATAGGTAAATCAGAATGGGGAAAGGGAAAGCAGAGGGTGTATGCTATATATAATCAGAATTTATGATGTCTAAATGTCTAACTGGCAGTAAAAATTTGCAACTCAAAAGAGAGGAGAGTTCAAAGTAAGATATTCACATTTGGGGCCGGCCCGTGGCTCACTCGGTAGAGTGTGGTGCTGATAACACCAAGGCCCCGGGTTCGGATCCCATATAGGGATGGCCGGTTTGCTCACTGGCTGAGCGTGGTGCTGACAACACCAAGTCAAGGGTTAAGATCCCCTTACAGGTCATCTTTTTTTTTTTTTAAAAAAAAAAAAAGATATTCACATTTGTGAATTGCTTGCATAGAGTGCATAGTGAAGTTAGGATCTTAAGTGGGATAACCATGAGGGGAGACTGGAGGAGTAAGTAGAAAGGGCTGAGAATAAAACCCTACAAAAATACCTATACATGCAGCTAAAAGTCAGGAGAAGGAATACTTGGAGAAAGCCCAGGATAGTAAAATATTATCTGGCAAAACAGAGTTTTAAGAATAAGTGGATCAAGAGTATCAAATAAAGCAAACATAAAAGTAGCAAAGGACTGAAAAAGGTAACTGAGTCATCATCATTAATGTTGAATGAGGGTTCTTGAGGATTTATTGTGCTATCCCTTTTATTTTTGTATGTTTAAAATAATAAATAATAACATTAAAATTTTTTTAAAGGCCAGAAGATTTGATAATTACATCACTGGTAATCCTCAGAAGAGTGGTTTCAAAAGTATGACATAAGTGGGAGTTAGACAGCAGCATGTATGTCCAAGAATATATCTTTACAATTTCCTGTGAAGCTCTCAAACAACACAGGCCCTGATCCCACACTGTGAGATTTTAGTCAAGTACTGGAGCTTGCCCGAATCAATCTTAGACCTCCTTAATCAAAAATCCCAGGGGAGAAGCCTGGTAACCTGTATATTTAAGAAGCATTTCAGGAGATATTATCAGAGAAGTTTGGGAAACTAATTCAGAAAGTTTGAAAAAGCTCAGCAGCTTTTTATTTGATCTTAACCTCATGGGTGTTTTAGATTACATTCATCCAGTTGAGAACTACTAGGATAAAGAGTGACTAATAGGAAGTAAAGTGCACAATGCAAGGTAAATAATTTTTCAAGTATGGTGGGAAGAGAAGAGATAATAAATTGGGGAGGGCCAGAGTCTAGGAAAACTTAAGTGATTTTTAGTTTAGGGAACTCAAAAGCATGTCTTTTTGGGGAAGACTGAAAAAATAATAAATGGGAAAAAACAAGTAAGGAGAGAGATACCAATGAAATAAGAACACAGATGAAGGACAAAGGATTTTCCCTCGCAGATAACAATAAAGGTGAGAAAACACACATAAATCTAAGGCAGAAAGGAGAACACTTATTGAACTCACATCTATTGGTCTCAATCTCCTTAACTCAAAAGAAGAGATAAGAATATGGGAAGTGAAGGGAGTAAGGATGAAATTTGGGAAATGTGAAGAGCGGAAAAAGTTTGAAACAGTCACTGAAGGAAACTCATTAATAAGTAAAATTATTGTGAACCGAGTGAAAACCTGGCAAACATAGGGCTGGCACAATTCCATGATATTTTTCAAGAAGACCAACATTTAATAAAGCTAACCACAGGCGGCATAGCGCTGGGAACTGGCAAATAGTGGAAAAACAAATAAGAAAGGAATTTTAGAACAAAGGGGTGACCAGGAGTGTCCAGAATAGGGAGTAAAAGTAGAATAAGCTGATAGAGTGGGAGAATTAGGAGAAACTGATAACTGATCATCCCGATGCAGATAAAGATTTGAAAGGGTATTCTGTCAGACTGAGAGCACTTGAAACTGAAAGAGTTTTAAGCCATGACCAGAGCTGACCATGAGTAGAGGATGTTCTGAGGAACGACAACAGGAAACTGAGCAGACAGGAATGCTGAACAAAGGGAAATCATTGAGTAGTGGGACACCAGTGCTTCTTGAATTTTGACATGTTTATGAATCAACTGAGATCTTGTTAAAATAAAGATTCTTATTCAGTATGTCTGGATATGACTAGAAATTCTGCATTTCTAATGAGCTCCCAGGTGATTCCAATACTGCTGGTCCATGGATCACATTCTGAATAAAAAGGTTCTTAGAGTTCTTCTCAATTCAGGTGCTTTCTCCACAACACGTACATGAGCAAGACACTCCTACCAGTGATGTCTTCGTGAAGTGACTCAATTGTGTGGCTTGAACACACTGTACAGAAATTCTAATTTGTATTCTTCCCTCATTAATTATTACTTTCATACATCAGTAGAAACCATTAACTTGTCTGTGATAAAGCAAGAATAAAAATCTAATTTTTGCTAATTTAGCTATGACGCTCTTGTCTTTTTGATGTCATACCTCCCATAAAACTGGGTTTCAATTCAGGGCTTCATTCATCTTTTAAAGTGGTGTCAAGAATATAGTAAACAGTGACAAATTGACCAACCAATTAGAAAATAAGTCCCAAGAACAAGCCAAAAAGAACTTAGATTATTCAGCTCAGGAGTTACTTGACTGAGGGATAATTTAATGGTCATTATATATATATATATATATATATATATATATATATATAAGGCCTCTTTCACAGAGTAGCTGTTAAATACCACAGAGCCAAAATAAACAAATCCTCTTTAGCATATAAAATAAAGACTTACATACTAATGTCAATAACAGACTTGTAAATCACCAGTGTAACAGCTCTCTTCAGTGTAGAATGATTTTAAGTTAACTATGATTTTATAAAAACTCAAAAACTAACCTAAAATTTATTTCTATTAATTTCCTGAATAATAGTAAGTTCTTATTTGTATAAGTGTTCATATGAAATTTTGTGTAAACAAGGATTCAAATAATAATATATGGCAAAAATCTTGAGGATAAAGTGGGCCAAGTATATCCAATTGTTCAAAACTGAGTTTCCAAAAATTATGGGCAAATCTCCTTTCTCCTGGCTTCCTGATTTCATCAGGGAGCTTCTTCTAGAATAACACATCTGACCTCCTGCTTCCCTTCCAGCTTTTGTCCAAGGAAGAGCAATGACTTATCCAATTAGTATGCCTGGAAAAAGAAACTGGGCATGGACAACTCAATCCCTTCTGAGTTCCCTCTTTTGGTCTTCCTAGCAACTGAGAGGATACATTCTAGTACGTTCTAGGATATGTGGCTAAGTAGAGGAAGGCTGTTGTTGTCCAGTTGGGCCAGTAATAGAAGTTGGGGGGGGGGGGGGGAAGGGTCTTCCTAGCAACTGAGAGGATACATTCTAGTACGTTCTAGGATATGTGGCTAAGTAGAGGAAGGCTGTTGTTGTCCAGTTGGGCCAGTAATAGAAGTTGGGGGGGGGGGAGGTAAGTCTATCTAATTTAAGAGTGAATTATTAAAGTCCACAGTAACTACATATCTAAAACATATTTTCCAAGTCAACCTTTTTTTTAAATCAGGAATAAAGCTGACATTTTGATGTTCTATGTGACTTTTGTGTATCTCTCAATTGATTCAGAGCTAGAAAGGAGATAACAGAGGAATCATTTACTACTCCCCTCCCCTTCTCAATCCCAACAATCAGGAAAAAAGATGCTTTACCAATATTCAAGATACTAAGTAAAATTCTTCCTAATATGCTGTACTATATTTAAATATCACAAAGGATTACTATGTTACCATTTAATTACTGCAATACTACAATATTACCCAGAAAGCTTTTGCCCTAAAATCTTACCTTAACAAAACGTTCATATCGTGCCTTCACTACTGGATTATTTAAAATGCTTGTAGCAGTCAAGACACTCTCTCTTTTTATTTGTTCCTTATAAGCCTATGAAAAAGAGATTACACAGAGGGTACTTGAAAACGATGCCATGAAAAATATTTCCAAAACTAAAATTACATTTTATGCTCAAATCCTTATACTTAAATGATTTATATCCTGTCAAATTAAGCTACAGAGCAACAACAGCTACTGTGACCACAATCTAATTCATCTGTGTATTAAGACAATGAAGATTCAATAAGCCAATAAATTCAATAAAAAACACTCAGTCCCCAAATACTATAAGTTTAGATCTACTAGATAGTTGCTTTCTCTCTTTTTTACTCTACACACACCTCACCAGCCCCCAACTACTAATTTTCATACTATCAAAAAAGAATAAATTTTCATACTACAAGAGTAATCAGTCTTCCTCTAGATCATGGTTACCACAAGACTGCCTTACACAGAGGAGAAAAGGTAATAATATGGAACATCTAGCTGCCAAAAAGGTGTCAAGGGAATATCAAGAGCAAAGAAAGGACAAAGATTAAAAAAAAAGACTGTATGTGCTCAAAGTGCCTAAAGAAGTCCAAGTTAAATGAAGTTCACTTCAATACAAAACATAAATTTAAGACTTAGATATGCTCTATTTGAAACTTAAGGCTTTAATATTTGAATCTTTAAATCTGCTTCTCAAACGAACTAGTTTCCCACAATATAAACATGTGAAGCAGAAATATGCTAATCAAAAAGAAAGTAAGTTTTTCAGGGATATTCTACTCAAAAAATGTAACAATGTTAACTGGTAATATTAGTTTTCAAATTAATTTTCCCCAACCATGAGAAAAATATATCAGTTATTTCAAATCTTTGCTGTTTTGTTCTAAAACACACACACATACACTCACAAGACTGTTTTAAAAGTTAATAAAAAATAACAGTTCAACAGTTATGATTTTCTAAATGCTTACTATTTATTACCAGGCACTATTTTAATTGTCTCTAATTGGTAGATGGTAGGACCACTTTTAATTCATCTAATCCTTCAACAATCACATAAGAGTAGAATGATTATCCATCCTCATTTGACAGATAAGAAAACTTGGACAAAGAAACGTTAATTTACTTTCTTAACATATGTTACATACTGAACCAGGAAGTCTTGCTCCAGAGCCCACCATGTTAACCAGTATGCTATACTGCCTCTCTGAGTATACTTATTCACATATGAGATTAATAGGACTGTATGCAAGTAGATGGGTGTGAAACAATGGCCAAGGGCAATAAGGGATTGATAGATAATTCAATGACTTTTTTGAGATAAATCCTAACTTACCTGCTTCCCTTTTATGTGATCGGGAGATTTTAAGTGATGCTGAACTGCACTATATAAAGCAGGGATATACAGACTACAAGCACTGCAGTGAACAGTCACCACTTTTATCATGTGATCATCCACAGTAACACCTACAAAAGAAATCCAAGTATTAAAGAAATGATTCACATATTCTTATTTCTCAGAGATCAAGTTTTTACTACTTAGTTTCCATGATTATTTATACCCCTTCTTCTAAAAAAAGGATCAGAGTATGTAGGTTTATGTTGTTTTTCTATAAAACTAATATATAGATAACTGATTAAAATTAAAGGTGCAGTTACATTGTATTTCCTAAGCATAGTACACAATCAGGCTCTGAGGCTTATAAGTCTATCCCAAAAAAATATGAAGGAAAATATATGTTGATTTTAATAGTAAAATAAGAATTTTCATGATTATTAATGTGGGTTGTTACAGAAAAAAGATGTCAAAATTGGATTCAAAAAGAACAATGTATAGTTGGAACTTGAAGATGGTGATTGGGGTTTATTACAGGCAAAGATATATACAAAGGAAAGGTATGAGAGAAAATGGCACTCTGAGAATTGCAAGTAATTAGGTACAGCTGGGGCACAGAGTATAAAGAAGGGACAAAGAAGAGAACAAAAAAAGGGGAGGGCCTAGGTTATAAAGAGCTTTATGTGCCAAGACTAGGAATTTGAACTTTATCCTGTAGAGGATGGGGAGCCACTGAAAGTTCCTGAACTAATGAGATCACGTAGTAGAATTAGAGATAAGAAAGACTAGAAATAAGGAAAATAGGAAAACACTACAATTGTCAAAAGAACGGGTTAAGAATTTCTACAAATGCAATAAATAAAGAGGAGGTAAAGAAACAGATTTGGAAAATATTTAAAAGATAGACTAGGACAAAGTGCTATGGATATGATAAGGAAAAAATAGGATAAACCCATACTTCTAACTTTGGTAGATAGTAGGGCCACTTAAGATAAATAAAAGAGATATTTGTGAGTTTTTGTTTTGTTTTCCTTGTGGAATGGAGTATGCTCAAGGAGATGATAAATTTTTTTGGAGATGTTAATTTTTTGTGACTGTTGAAGAGATGTTGGTAGGCAGTTGAATGTATGAAACTAGCACTCAGAAGAGAAATCTGTGCTAAAGACATAGATTCATAAGGAATCAACATACAGATGTTCATTTAAGCTCTGTACGTAAATGAACTCATCAGGAAGGAATGTAAAGGGAGATGATAATGGGGCTAATGACAGAGTACTGGAAAATACCAAATTCTAAAAGACTAAAAGAAAAAAAAAGCACAAAGACTAAAAAAATGACAAGGGATAAAGAGAACGTTAGGCCTGTGAAGTGTCACAGGAACCAAAAAAGGAAAGATTCACATAGAATGTAGTTAGTGAAAAATGTTACAGAAGTCAATGATTCAAAAGGACCTACAGAAGTTGGTGTTAGTAACTTCTGTCAGAGCAGTTTCAGTAAACTAACAGCAGCAGAAAGTTGTTTACTGTGCATAAAGTAATAAACGGGAGGGCAAGAAACAGAGTGTGGACTATGCTTAAAGAAGCTGGCCATTTAAAAGGCAGGTTTTAGGAGAACCAGTGTCTGTTTCTTTCTTTTTTTCCTTTTGTTGTTTTTGTTTTTTCAAAAAAGAGCATGTTAATAGGCTTCAGAGATGAAATCAAAAGAGAAGGAAAAATTGAAGACCAGGAGAGTTCATGATTTGAACTTAGAAAGATGAGAAGGGATAAGAGAGACAGAGGACATGGAAGAAGTATCTTTCACCTAAAGGAAAAGATGACTTTTCCTCTAAAATTGAAGTGAAGGAGGTAACAACACATGATACAATTGTAAGCATGAGGATAGGAAGGTAAAGTTCATTTCTGAGAATCCACTCAGGGCTACAGCATATATAACTCTGTACTATATCACTCTCAGGGGTTATCACTGACATTGAAATGGGTTATACTATATAAAATGTAGATGTAAATTTCTAAAACAATTTGGTTAAATACTTACCTTCCATAATATCTTTTCCTGTCATTTTGACTACTTCCATTTGATTAATTGTCTGTTGCTTACGAATAGATGTTTTCTTGAATTTATTCACCATGCATTCCTAGAAAACAAAACAGGAAGAATCCACATAGTTTTCAATAAGCACTTAGTATATGCTTAGAACCATGCTCATCCTATGGAAGATATAATGTCTGCTACATAAGAACTAATATCTGAGCTAATATCAAAAAGCTTATGATTTATTTGAAGACAGTCATAAAATACTAGCAAACTACAAAAAGTATTCATCTTTCAAAATATATTTTAGGCATACAGAGAAAGAGACCAAAGAGGGCTGGAATAGTCAAGGTCTTCACAGGGTAAGTGGGTATTTAAGTCATAAATGACAGATAGAAACATGGTAAGGCAGGAAATTACAAAAAGAAATTTTAATTAAGGAACCCAATTCTGTAAATACAGAGGTCTGAATGACCACTGTATTTCTAACCTTTTAATAATTCTATCTCTTCTGCCCAAATTAACTTTATGTACAATTACCAGTCCAGCTCAAGTCCCTTCTTTAAGTATTCCTGGTCCCAACTATCTTCCCCTTCTCCAACCCCCTACAAATACTTCCGCATTCTTGGCATTGTCACTTAAGTGTACTATCTGAGTATCTGTAAATGTCTTCTGTTTCCAATTATTGTTAGTTCATGGACAGCAGTATCTGTATCTTTAGTGCCTGACATAGCACCTTTCACGGGTATTCAAGAAAAACTGTTAAACTGATGACCATATACTAATAATACAAAGGACACTAAACAGACATCAGGCTCTCTGACTCTGAATTCAGACTCTGCCACTTACTGACAGAGTTGATTAACTGCTCTGAGCATGATCTTTCATGTTAAAAATGAGGTGTTATGAGGCTCAATTGATATAATCAAGGAAAGCACCAAGCTCAACCCCAGCTATGTAGTAGACTCTCAATGGATAGCTGACTGCATCAATAAATAGTTGTTAAAGGAATCCTTTCTCTAACATCTCTACCAGAAACTACTGTGAAAAATGTAAAATGATTTTTCAAATAACAAATCCAAATTCTATTAGAGAGGAACTCACATCTAATTCTGGGTTAGTTTTACTACTCTTTCATTAAATAAATGGTAAATTAAATTTTTAGAATATAAAATGGAAGAAATGGGTAGCTGTGAAAAAATGAAATTATAGAAAATTCACATCAGATAAAGTGCTTCTCACTTCAAAAACAGGTACTTACATGCAAAAACTCCATAACTACTTTATCAAATTTGGTTTGTTTCTGAATATGATCTAATGTTTTCTGGTGTGAAGAACTTTCCAGATGCAGTTCAATATCTTTCTCTTCAAATGTTCGAAATTTACAAAATGAACATGTGAATGCCATCCTATAAGGAAAAAAAAGTTTTCTTTAGATATTGCCTTATTCACTTAGCATTCATAAGATACTACTGAAACTGATTTTACTAGCATAAATGACTTCCTTTCTTCTATTTAACAATTGATTTAAATTTACCTTAAGTTAGAAAAAATAGTATTTCTTTAAGTACCTATTTGTACAGCACAGTCATTATAATTATACAACTTTGTATTTCTGGCCTACCTCTGAGCTTCTGAGTATAAAAGAGTAAGTGGGTCTACAAGCTATCCATTTCAAGTATAGGCCAATTAAAAAGCCAAAGCAAACCACAAATATCAAGTTCCAAAGCTCCACATGTTATTTTACACTCATCCATCCTCAAGCTTGTAAACCACTAAGGTAGTATCAGCAAGGCCAGGTGGCACACCAGACAACCATAATTCACTCCAGGGGGCTCTTAGGTGATCAAAAGTCCTGCCCCCTAAACACTACTTAAGGGTGACTAATAGCCTGGACTGGACAAATTTACATATTTAGAAGCAGAAGAACCACCCCAGGATGGGAAGCTCTTAAATTCTCCCATTTAACTGTTTCTATCTTATGTATATTGTTACTTCTTTTTCCTGGAATTATGACAAGACTCTCCCTAACTAGTTTCTGTCTTTAGTCTCCATTTTACAATTAATTCCTTGCACTGCTATTAGATTTATTTCCCTGGTTGAGAGTATGGGCTGGGGAGCCAACTGTTGGGTTTATATCCTAGCTCCCTTTTTTGACTTTGGGCAAGTTGCTTAACTTCCCTGGGCCTTAGTTTTCTTATCCTTAACGAGATGAAAACCTTTATAGAGGTGTTGTGAGGATTAAAAAACATTAATATGTATAAAGCCTTTAGAACAGTTCCTAGCACACAATACTTATCCAATTAATTATCGTTACTTCCTTAAGGATACAAGCACATTATTACTCCAAAGGCTCAAAAAACATTTCAGCTGCCATCCAGGAAATTCCCTAATCTCTTCTATCTCTTTATGGCTTTACACATCAATACCTTTAACACTGTCTAGCATTAAATGCTTAAATTAGATTATACCTTTATCCCTTCTAGAGTCATATCTACATACCTTTCCATTTTCTTCCTCTTCCTTTTTTTTTTTTTTTTTTTGCAGCTGGCCACTACAGGGATCCAAATCCTTGACCCTGGTGATAACACTGTACTCTAACCAACTGAGCTAACCAGCCAACCTGGCTTTCCATTTTCCAAATGTCAATATTTTATTTCTTTGCTTTTACTTCAAGCCATGCTCTACCTGGGCTGCCTCTCCTCCCAACTCCTCCTGCAATGTTACCATTCCTAGATAAGTTCAAATACCTCCTCCTCTATCATGTAGCCTCCCCTGATTTCCCTGCACTCTTATTTAGAAGTTATCTTTCATAAGAGTACTTTGCACTTCTCTTTTGGCACTCTTCACCATATACTGTTGTTTGTATACACCTCTCAAACATCCATCCCTTTCCCCCCAGGTTCCTTTAAGGGTAGGTATACATAGTCACCTTTTCAATCTCTTTATTTATGTTGAAGCATTGAAATATCCAAAGGAAGACATCACAAGAAGAGTCATTATCATCTATCTCTAATACTCCTAACTCAAAGTAAAACTGCTCGGATAAATTAAAATAATTTTAAACTGTTTTAAAGAATTCTTATCCTAAACTGACAATTTAGTTGAACTGGCATTCTTTTGGTTATACCTTCAGGTTTATATTTACAGTTATGGAAAAAAAAGCTAAATGAAAGTTCAGTTCTTTCATTTCCTCCAAATCACAATATTTATTGTATTAACATAGGTATATCATATCCAAACCTACAATTTTTAATGGAAAAAGTGCTCATAAGGATAAATAGAAAAATTAATCTTCTAATGAAAAACCATTTTTAGACTCCTACACATTTGATATAAAGTGTTAACTTGAATTCATTTCCACACCAAAGTAACTAAGCCTGTTACCTCTGCCAAAAGAAGGAATTTCAAGAGATGAAAAGTGGGAGAGATACTCGCAAGGACCAAAAATAGCAGTGCTCTTAAAACTAGAACTTCTTTTTATTAATTCTTTTTTTTTTTAACCCCTGTACTCAGTACATTCCAGTATGCGTTAATTCTTAATAAGTTTAATCTTACTTTTCTCAGGTCCCAGAAAATTAGGAGCAACAAACCAAAAAAAGAATAGGAGATTACTAAAGCTAGACACAAAGATAACACAAGTATACCTAGAGGAATAATATCAAAGACAGGCTAAACAAACAAAAAACATCTGGGAATTTGGATGCAAATGAATTTTTTTTACTACTTTTTACATAAACAAAATTAATGTATATGTCAAGACCAAGTAATAACAAAGAGTATCCTATTTTACATAGAAAGAAAGCCACACATTTTTAAAAACTTTCCATCAAAACATTTGCTGATTCTTCTCTTAAAATTTTATCTTTTAAAATAAGATAAAGTTTTACCTACCTAGAAAATTCATTTCTGTGAAACATTTCATTCCTTTCATGCTACATAAATAAGTTAACTTTTAAAGAACAAAAATATATGTTGAATGGGAAATACAATAAATTTACTTTTAATTTTTATAATCTTGATTTTTCTAGCATAAGCTGTGCCTGGGAAGATTTCAGAAAAAATGCTTTAAAAAATATCAATTATAGTCCTTTAAAATTTTTCATATTACAGTTGATGCATTTGCCTTTTCTGGGAAACTATTTTTTTAACGAGCCCACTTATCTGACTCTACTAAACACAAACCTGTAGCCACCTCCATATTTCTCACTGTTTTTTTCTCTTCTGCGCCTTTGTTTCTCTCGCCGAGCCTCAATTCGTCGCTTCTCTTCTTCTTCATTTTTAGAATCAGTTTTTGCTAAAATATCAAACAAAAAAGTTAAAACTAAAAATCACTTTTCCATTCTCCCTTTTCAATCACCAGTTCTTAAAGTACAGACATAGAGGGTTTACTTAGTGATCACACTCTAAATTGAACTAGCCAGAAAAATCAGAGTTTGAAACTACCCAAGTATTTCCACATTCCTGCTAAGGCTTATTATCTGTCTTTTGAATCTATCCATCCAGGAAGGTGTGAAGTGGTACCTAATTGTGGTATTGACTTGTATTTCCCTGATAACTCATTGTTCAGCACCTTTTCATGTGTTTAGTGCCATTTGTCTGTTTTGGAGAAATATCTGTTCAGACTATTTGCCCACTTTTTAATTAGGTTATTTGTCTTTTTATTATTGAGTTGTCAGAGTTCTTTAAATATTCTGGATGTAAGTCTCTTATTAATATATGATTCGCAAATATTTTCTCCATTGTGTGAAAAGTATATATGTTCACGTTCTTCATGGCACCCTTTGAAGCACAAAAGTTTTTAACTTTGATGAAGTCCAACTTATCCATTTTTTCCAATTGTTCATGCTTTTGATGTCATATCTAAGAATTCCTTGCCAAACCCAAAGTCATAAAGACTTACCCCTACATTTTCTTCTAAGAGCTTTATAACTTAGGTCTTGGATTCAAAGTCTTGCATTTCAGCTTTTGCATGTAGCTATGCAGTTGTCCCAGCACCATTTGTTTAAAAGACTATTCTCTCTCCATTGAATAATCTTGATACCTTGTTAAAAAACCAACTGACCATAGATGTGTGGGTTTATGTCTGGCCTCTCAGTTCTATTTCACTGATCTATATGCCTGTCCCTGTCCAGTACCACACTGTCTTGATCACCATTGTTTTATAGAAAGTTTTGAATTGTGAAGTGTGAGTAAGAAGAACTTTGTTCTTCTTTTTAAGGATACTTTGGCTATTCTAGGTCCCTTGCAATTCCCTATGAGTTTTAGAACCAGCCTGTAAATTTTTGCAAAGAAGTCAGTTGGGATTCTAATAGGGACTATCCTGAATCTGTAAGTCAGTTTGGGGAGTATGGCCATCTTAATAATGTTCAGCCTTCCAATATGTGAATACTTATTTAATTTTTCCATTTATTTAGATTTCTTTAATTTCTTTCAATAATATTTTGCAGTTTTTAGAGTATAGGTTTTGCACTTCTTTTGTTAAATTTATTTCCAAGTAATCGATTCTTATTGATGCTATCATAAATAAAATTGTTTTTAATTTAATTTTCAGATTGGCTCTAAATTTTTTAACAGTCAATGTAAAAACAGAAATACGATTACCTCTTAAGAGTTATCACATTAGGAAGATTAAAACCAAATTAATTTTCTAAAAGAAGCACAGCTTTTTCTAGTACTAAGGACCATGAAAATTTTCTTCCCTTTTTCCTCATAAAGGGTATTCTATGTGATATGACATACCATTTCCATCAACAATACCTCCAACAATAAATATAACACCCAAGAAAGGGGTCTGGATCAAAATCATGTGTAAGGACTTCTTAAAAATATATATTTTTTCTAACAAGCCTCACTGGTTAGCTCAGTTGGATATAACATGGGTTCTGATCCCCATATAGGCCAGCCACACACACACACACACACACACACAAAAAAAAAAAAACCCAAAATATAGATTTTTCTGGCCCCATCTCTCAGGATTTAGGGAAAAGTGGTGGACCAAGGCATGTGATTGTAAAAGTATCTTTGGGTATTCATGACTAATTAATAACTACACAAAAAAAAAAAAAAACCCAAAATATAGATTTTTCTGGCCCCATCTCTCAGGATTTAGGGAAAAGTGATGGACCAAGGCATGTGATTGTAAAAGTATCTTTGGGTATTCATGACTAATTAATAACTACACTAAGTCACTCATGGATCTAATTTCTATAATTATAATTACTATGCAGTTTTTCTATATAAATATGGAAAAGTTCCCCAAAAGTATTGAATTTAAAAAAATAAAAAGTATCCGATATCATAGGAATTATGTTTTCCTACTTACTGGGCGATTTGCTGAGGCTCATCTTCTCCGTAGGTTTTGCTAGCTTGGGTTTCTTGACAGAGGTTCCACTGGGTTTATTAAATGGCATTTTTCTCTTTATTCCTTTTGCAGCAGCAACTGTCACATTGGTGGGTTTGTTTTGATAGTCAATAACAACTCCAGGTCTATGAATGCTTTCAAAATCACCCATATGCTGTAAATTTGTAAAATCAAGAAAAATCAGCATAGTGTCAAAGAAAAAACATGAATTCATACAAAATTTTCATGTTATTTATCTACTAATTTTCACCTGAAAATTCCCTAGAATGTAACTAAATTCTACATGTCCACTCTGAAAAAACACACTGAAAAACTTTGTAAATTATTACACGAACTCAAATCCAGTGAATTCGTATTTTTATTTCCAGTAGAACAAATATGGATATTTCCTATCTATTTTCACTTTTACAATTCAAAATTACTTGAGATCATAAACAACATATGTGCCTGTCAGAATGGTACCACTTGTACAACTCTCTGACAACTCCTCTTCAGAGTTCCTAACTGATGTTTTCCCATGAAAAGACCTTAAAAGAAATCTTTATTTTACTAAAACCTGGCTTAAATCTAAGATACACAAAGAAGAACATGTTTGTAGATTGAAGTAAAAAAACATCCAGAAATCATTTAGGATTTCTCCCTGTTGAAAAAGGGAATGAGAAGGCGAGATGGAACATTAGTATGAAATAGGAGAGTTAAAGCATAACCATGCATCAACTTCCAAGACACACTTCAGATAAAGAATTGCATCTGACGTTCCATTCACATTCTTACCTAGAGAAATATATTTTGACCAAGAAACCCAAGAAGCAAAAGTTTACAGATGAAGAGTCATGCACCCAAACGACTCTTTGTGTCCCTTCCTCTTCTCTTGTCATTACCAAAATCCACTACACCAAGAGGCCAGATGTCCACAGAAATTTATTCTGCTAATCTTACTTTTAGAAGATAAAGATTGAGGAGTAATCTGAAGAGAAGGACCCAATGGGAATTGTACAAGTGAAGATTAAAAATGAAGGTCCTATTGGTTCGTCTACTTCATTAACAGGAGGAAAGAAAAAATCCATTCAGACTAGAATGGTAAATACAAAGTACAGTAATATTTGCTGCACTATCATGAAAACAAAGTTGATATCTGAAGTCTCATTAAGAAAAAATCCTTTGCCTAATACACAGCATAGAAAATGTTAAGTGTTTTCCAAATTTTCAAACTGAAATAGATTTTCATTTTTGAAATCCAAAGCCTATTATCCCAACTGTTTTCAATTAAACTATAACCATGAAGTCTGGTAGAACAGCAACATATCAATTGCTTACATTTACATATTATGCTTAGTAATACCTATCTAACCTAGTAGACTTCGGTAAATTAGTGTTTCCAGGTAATTTACATAATCACATCAGAAAAATCTTCATTTTATCCATTAAAGGTGCAATGCATTTTACATAATTAAGTAGTAACTTAAAAATGCAAAACTTCTACACAAATATAACAAACTATACTGATGTACCAAAGGCTAACAAACAGAAACATCTGCCCTACTTTATCAGAAGTACTTTCCTCAGCAAAGAGAATATTAAGAGCAATTGACTTAAAAAAATTCTTACATTATATCAAAAATACAACATTCTTTATATGATCAAAATACTTAATAACCCCACAATCTACATACACTTACTAGACAAAATTTAATGTCAATCAAGTTACCTAAGAACATAAAGCATAATCTTTACACTATATATCCTGCAATTAAGCACTTGAGGACTAGTATATCTACTCATTTAAGCAATAATCTACAAAATATTACTTCCTAGGAAGGAGCCATTAAACATAACTGTACAGGGAGGAAATTATCTCTCAACAGTAAAGCTAGCGACATGAGGGAAAATAAAACAACCAGTAACAGGACATACCGTAAGACAGTGAGTTAGCAAAAATACACTGACCACAAATCATTCTACAATCTATCGTACACATCAACTTCTTTGCCATGTAACCATGGCTAAGCTATCCTAATCTTTCACCAACTTTTATTAGTCTCTTGTGTTTAAAGTGAAACATGGAGCTTTGAAGAAATTCAACTTGCCAGAGTTTAGCAACAAAGTATAAACATTTTATCATACATTGCACCTTTAACCTACTCAAAAACTCAAAAAGCGTTGTTACCTTTTACAATAATCCAAGAACTATCTCACCAGCAAAACTGCTAGTGGTTACAAGGAAAAATGCAACTCCTTTTAACCCCTTTTAGACCAAACCTAATATCCTCACCTTTTCAATAAAGGGAGATTTGGCACAACTTTATGAACAATCATCTCAAACTGCCACTTATTTTCTGAGGTGCTGGGAAAACCTTTTACAGTCAACCTAAAAATTATGTTTGTGACTCAACTTTTTCTTCAAAATACACTGGGATGAACAGTGTTTATTCTAGTTGAAAACCATGGTCTTGAAAGGGTTTAAAAGAGTGACTAGTGAAAAGAATCCGAAAAGATTCTGTTGTACTTACTCCTCGGCCTCGGCCTCTGCCTGTTGATGGTCCTCCAAAAGCATCATAGTTTCTGCTTCCAAACGTACTTTCAGGATAAGCAGGCGTTCCTCTCCCCCGAGAGCCTACAGGTGCAGGCTTCATATGGGGTGAAGAAAAACTGCTGTAGGAAGAGTAATTCTCTCTTCCTCTGTCCTCCATAAACCCAGGCCTCAATTTTGAACGGGAGTAAGGTGCTTCCCAGCTAGACCCGCCCTGGTTTCTACCTCCGAAAGAGTCAAGGCTATTCCGGTAGGAGCTCTCAAATCGACCACCATAACTACCTCCGAAGCGGCTTTGTTCGGGTTCATTAAAACCATAGCCAGATCTGTACAGATCTCGCCCACCCAGAGAAGACCTGGAGTCGTAAGACTCATAAGGTCCAAACCTGGAAAAGTTGCACAGTGAGGGAAAAAACAAAAGTAAGCTTACTAATGTTAGACAATTCAAAAGACAAGTTATCAGATGACATTTATCAACTAAAATTCATTTATATGGTTTGCACAGTTCTACTTTTGTTCACTCTTGATTAGGGCTGGGCAATTCAGCATGAGACCAGATAGAAAGCTATCTGAGTCAGTTTCTAAATATGAATTGAGTTTAATAAATCTTAGCTTAAAAATCTGCTTTTTAGTAGCTTTTCTATTTTATTAAGATTTGTCTATCGTTATTTAAGCCCAGCCCTAGTCTTAGAAAAGGTCATTTGCTAAAGTTCACAAACTATTCAAACTTTCTTTGAAACCATCCCTAATATTGAAAATTACAAAACATTTACAATATTTTGGCCTCCATTAGGGACGTAAATTGAAGACTACACAGATGTAGGCTATTTGTGACACAGAGAGATCCTTTTGCACCCCCAATAATCTAAATCACAAAACTGCTTCATGGTGTCTGTAGTAGTCAAAATTTGGGGAATTATCTCTGGTTATGAAATTTGACAATCTGCCAAACTTCAGCCAAGGTCAATGACCAATCCTCAATCACTTGTTACTTGTAGACTAGTAAATCTAACAAATCTAAAAGAATAAACATAAAATAGAACATAAAAGTAAAAGAACACCAACATATACCCTCTGCATATGAACTTTCAAGGCAGATGAGAAAGCATAGATTTTATAAGGTCTTCAATTATTTGAAAAATTATTTCCTATCAGGAAATTATCACATAAACCTACTCTAAAAATGGGAGCACACAGTCTCTTCAAGGTTTTAATAGAGTCAACAGAAGAAACAAATCAGCTTACTTCCCACAAATCTAATACATGGATTACAAAAGTTGCTTGATATCTTACAACCCAGTTTTATAAAGGTCCACAATTACACACGAGATAAATGATAAAATCTACAGAAATAGTTTATGCACATTATATTTACAATGTAAAAGGGAAAAATTTATATATTAAAGCATTTAAATGTTATATTACTTCAATTATTTACAGATCACTAAACAGAAAGTACTATTTACTTTTGAATACTAGTGACTACATAAAAATTATTCCTCTTTCCAACTACATTTTTCAAAACATCTATCACATAAGCGAAATTATTAACTGTTCATTTTCTTGATTTTTCTTTACTATAAACCACAGTGGCACACTTGAAGCAGAAAGAAGGAAAGTAAGCAATATTCAGTACATCATTAAGGAATCCAGATCCTTCAATTTACAAAGAAGGATGACAGCTTCAAATATCTAAATAGTTTGACTTATTCAGCAGGAATCTTTGTGCCTCAAAAAGTAAACCCACTTTTCCTGAAATATGGTAAACCCTAAAGCCTGTAGTTGTTTAACTAGTTTTAAGCTTTACACAATATCGACAGTGAAATATAAATATAATCTAGACTGTAATCAAAGGTACAGCACGAGGAAAAAGTTCATGGAAAGAATTACGTTATCTTTTAATTCTATTTTCCACAAACGTTTGAAGTACCCTCATATTCATGGCTTTAATACAATGTTTCTATCCTAGAGCACAAGTGTTTTTGGTGTAAGTAGTACCTGCCAATAAATAACCTGGATATGATTTAAAGAACATCCTTATTACTACAATGTGCTCTTGCAACTTACTTTAAAATTAAAATTAAAAGAATATCTATCCTAAATGTTTCTGAGGAATTTAATGCTGCTAGACTGGTTCAGTTAAATCCATTCTAGTCAGACCATTTTGTTGCTTTACATATAGCACCCCACATTACGAAAGATTTTTTAAAAATCATTCAAAAAAAGCTTCACAAATAATATTTCCAATAGCATATTTTTATATTTGTTCAGGACATTTCTATTGGCAAGGAATTAAAAGTAAAATAAGTTTAAAAAAAAATGTTCACTGCTAAAGACAGAATATCTCACCACTATTATATAGAAATGATAACAGTTATCTGGGGTTTTCCTAAAATAATGTCTGCTGGTGATCCTGCGGTAATTCTTATAGCCATCAATTAAGACCTTTAAACATTTCAGGTGATTATTCAGTACCAAACAGTGAAGTTCAATTATCATAACATGCCTAAGTAATACTTAAAATGATATATCCAGAATCTTATAGTTGTCTAATTATTTGGCCAAATGATTAAGCAACTTACCTGCTACCCCCACCACCACCACTGTGACTGTCCATGCCATATGACTGGTTTAGGTAGGAATCCATGGATCTTTGATCCCCATAGGATCCATGGCCATAGTCATGATCCATCCCTATAAGAGTTTAAAAAGAAAAAAATTAAATGGCGCTCACCTTTACTGGCGCTCACCTTTACTGGCACTCAAAAGAAGAATTTTTAGATAAAAATCCTTGAATGTCAGACCTCCATAAGATCCAGGGCCATAATCTCTATCCATTCCTAAAAGAGAGTCAATAAGAAATTGTCAGTAAAATACACTATTCTCCTCAGGAATCTTTGTATAAAACACAAGATATTCATATCAATCACCTGAGATAATGATTCATCATTGACATTTAAGGTAAACTTCCACTATACATTGAAGGAAAAAATACAAAGATGATAATATACTGAAAAATCAGATTTGCTAACAAAGTATGATATTTCAAAGAAAACATTATCAACTAAAAAGTTCTATATGAGAATTATTTCCAACTTAGCCAATAATTATTTGACTAGGGGACTAGTATACGGCCCTGAATTGGTACTACAGTGTATATAAAAATAATTAATAATATGAAGGTACTTCAGAAAGTTCATGGAAAAATAGAATTAATAGATAATACAAATCTTTCCAGGAACACTATGAAGTACCTTCATACATAATTCCTATTCTCAAGAGAAATCAGCATTTAATAATGTCAAAAGGGAAAATTTTTGTCATAATTATACTATGACATAAGTATACTACCATACTTGTTTTCTGCATCCAATTGCTCTCAAAATGTCTAAAAACTCAGAAGGAACTACATTTTCAATTAGCCACATTCACAATAACTGAAATAGATATTTTTTAAAAGTAAAATTTTGAAAAAATTGGGACCAATCTGTGGCACCGTGTCTATAAATAATACGGACTCAACAAATATTTAAATCTTCAAATTCCATTGAATAAAGGAAATTAACGTGAATTCTAACAATGTTAACATTAAAAAAAATTCTAACACAATAAGGGTACTAAGTATAATTTACTGACACTGCAATTATTCCTACATCCCAACCTCTGACATAAAAAATAAATACAACAAAAGATGTAACAAAATTAATTTACAATGTGTATAAAAATGAAAAATTAAAACAACCATTTGGAATTCGTTTCCTATAAAATCCTTTAAAATCCTTCATTGCTACCCGCCCCAAATTTTATGTATAAATAAATACAATAGTACACACAAAGCAAATACCTTAATTTATATTTTTAAAACACTTAACTTTATTTCCAATCATTTAAATATTTCTAGTCCTAACAATAATAATAACAACAAAAACTTTACAAAAAATACTACTCAGAATCTCACAACTTTAAACCTGGAAGTGACCTAAATGATCAAATTCAATCTCCTCATTTTAGATTTGGGAACTAAAGTCCAAAGAGATGAAATGACTTCCCCAAAGTCCCATAGTATCCTCCTGTCTACCTTCGTGCTGCTGCTTCTACAAGAAACATCTTCCTCTATCACCCCAAATATCTGCTTATTGAAATTTTCTAATCTTTTAAAGTTCATTTCGAATATTAATGCATTCAAGACAACTTTTCTTGATATTGTCTCAGCTGAGTATCACCCTTCTCAATATTTACAAAAGCCTGTAACTCTTATGTGAGGCTTATGATACTCTATTTATGGCCGCATCTTAAATTTACACTAGTCTAATGGTAATGGTCTGATTTCTACTAATTTTTTATAAATCTTAGAGCAGCAGTTCTCAAGGAATGGTCTGCTGACCACTGGGAGTTGCTGAGACCTTTTCAGGGGGTCTACAATCTCAAAACTATTTTCATAAATAATACTACAATATTATTTGCCTTTTTCATGCTGTTGACATCTACACTAAACTTGCAAAAAGCACTGGTGGTTAAAACCGCTGGCACTTTAGCACAAATCAAGGCAATGGCACCAGACCATACTAGTAATCATTATGTTCTTTAACATCACACACTCACAATAAAAAATAATAAAATAAAAATGCCATCTTCACTTATGAATATCCCTAATGAAGCAGTAAGAATTATTAATTGCATTAAATCGTGACCTTTGAGTACACATCCCTGTGACACTCTGTGTAGTGAAATGGGAAGTACACATAATGCAACATTTCTGAATAACAAAGTATCATAACTGTCTCCAGGAAAAGCCATTGTGCAAATATTTGGTTTATGAATTAAATTAGCCACTTTTTGCAAGGAACACTCTCTTTACTATAAAGAAAGACTGACATACTATAACTATGGTTTTCAGGCTTGGGAATTTGGCAGATATTCAGACTATCCACATTTCAAGTGCTCAACAGCTACATGTGGCTAGAACATCTTGGCAACACAGTTCTAGACTGAGGAAACAGACAATTATTTGTCTTAGAGTTGGTAAGTGTATAGTATAATTTATGCTCATATATCTCATACAGAGCACAATTTAAATCACTCTATCATAAATAATAGGCTCAAAAATGTTAAAACTCATTTACAATTACAACACATGAAAGGAGCTGTGGAGTAGAGGAGAAAAACTGACTTATGATCAAAATAACTAGATGTGCGACATCAAGTCTAGAATAGGATTAGTTTTTACCACCTCTACACTACTAGCATCCTAGTACGGGCTACCAGCATCTATCACCTAGATTATTGCAACCTCCTCCTAACTGGTTTTCCTGCTTCCACTTTTGCTCCCTTAGGTTTATTCTGAAGACAATAACCAGAATAATTTTAATAAAACGTAAGTTAAATCATGTCCAATGCTCAGTACCCTCCAATGGCTTCCAAGTAAAAGCCAAAGACTTAAAGTAACCTATAAGGCCCTATACCCGTGGCTCTTAACCAGGAGCAGTTTTACACCCAAGGGAACATTGGCAATGTCTGAAAACACTTTTGGTTGTCATAACTAGGGGGCAAGTGCTACTGACATCAAATGTGTAGAGGCCAGGGATGTTGTCAAACATTGTACAATGCACAGGACATCCCCCTACAACAAAGAATTATATCCTGTGCAAAATGTCAATAGTGTGAAAGTTGAGAAATTCTGGCATATATGATCTACCCCATCACCTCTTAACTTCATTATCTACCACACACCCTTATTCATTCCACTCCAGCTACACTAGGCCCCTTGCTGCTCCTAGAACACATCAGGTGTACACCAATTCTGGCACCCGCTGCTCCCTCTGCCTGAAATGCTCTTCCCCTATATTTGCACTGTTCACTCCCTCAACTCTTTCAGGTTTTCACTTTCTATTGCTTCTTATATATAAGCAAATTACCTTTGATTTTCAATGCCTTCTGGCTACACCTCACCACTCTAACCTTAAGACTGGGAAAAATCATCTCTTCTAGTCAAGCCAGTCTTCTTAAGTCTCTTTGAAGCACAATGTTCTCAGCCCTACCTTTGTTCCTGCTGTTCCCTCTAGCTGGAATGTTCTACCTTTTTTCTATCTGCTGTTTATACTCATATAAGAGGTAGTATAAAGAAAAAAAAATGTAGACACTGGAAATATAACTTCCTTCCAAAAATGGTGTAGTGGAAATCTGTATCTTGACATGCTTTCCAATGCCTTCTATGGAAAATACAATGCTAACAGTGAAGTGCATTGTTGGCTTCATTTGATACCTATACATCTTTTATTTTCTAAAGCCTATAGCATTCTTCCTCTAGATAGCCTGATGGCTTGCATCCTCATCTCCCTTAAATATATGCTTAGATGGCACTTTTTGGTGAGTCCTTCCCAGTGACTCTCTTTAAAATTTCAACACACATACACTTGTCCCCCTTCCCTGCATTATTTTTCTCCCTAGCAATTATTACCATCTAACATACAAACATATTACTCTTCATCTTATTTACTGTCTATTTCATCCCACTAGGCTAGAAGCTCCAAAAGGGCAGGAATATCTGTCCGTTTTGTTCACTGCTGTATTCCCTGCTCCTAGAACAATATCTGATACACAGCAGGCACTAAATATTTGTTGAATAAACTCAAATCAACCCCTAAAATTAATTTCCTCATTTGTAAAATGGAGATAATCTAGACCTCAAAGTATTGTCAAGCAGTGATCTTTAACCAGAAGTGCATTCCAAAATCATTCAGAACACTTTTACACAACATATACAGCCAGAGACCACTTGCCCTGAAATTAAGATTCAAGAATTCTAAGGTATGACCTGAACATATATACTATGAGAAAGTTCCCCAGGGGACTTTAATAGATACCCTCAGATGAGAACCACTGTTAAAACTAAAAGAGAAAAAACATAAGTCATAACATTAGATCTTACATTACAACATAACATTACAACACTGTACATTAAGAAGGAAATAAACTTCTGGCCCTGCATGATTCTACATTTTAAGTCATGTGTTTAGAGATTAAACCCAATCATGTCCTTCTATAATTCCAAATTTCTCTTTCTCTCTTTGGTGAAAGCACTAGTCCTACTCGCTCCAGCTCAAAATCCTGGAATCATTTTTATTCAACCCTCTCAATTTTCTATCCATTACTTGTCAGCCTGCAAGTTCTGCTAATTTTCTCCAGAAAAAAGTCTTAATATTTTTTAAATTACTATGGTTACCTCCCAAGTTGAGGGTCTTGAAATCGTTACATCTAAATTTATGAAATGGGTTTCTAGCTAATTTTTACTTTCAATCTAACCTATGAGTGGATACAAATTAAACTTCCTTTGGTAGTTTTGTTATGATACTCTCCTGCTCAAAAGTATATTCTTTGGCACTCACTTTATATTGACTACTTCCTACATGCTGAGCCACATTAAATCCAAAGTTTCTCTTAATCTTTACACATGAGAAATAAAAATTAGCTGTATGGTAATTATTCCCATAAAACAGCATAGTCTTCTTTTGTAGTACATATGCTTCAGTTTTATTTCATAAATATGTTCTGTACAACAGCTGGATTTTGCAGTTCTCTAGATGTCAGGATATTTAATGCCACTCCCTCAAGTCCTTCATATAATGCTTTTTTAACCTCTTGGAATTACTCTGTATTCGTTTTTGTGTTATTATCTTGTTTGGCAGGGCCTTACTTGTAACAACTATTAAAAAGACATCCAGTTGTATTCTGCATACCTCTCATGATTTTATCTAACTCTGCAGTCACAAGTCTAATGTCATGCTTATGTCAATAAATAATCAGGCTTCTTTATGTGCCCCTTAGACAGTTCTTTATAT